TTCGGAAAAGGCCAATATTGACTCTGAAATTCAGCACAGGATTAGTAGCGCCTCAAGAGCATTCTGGAAATTAAAAGACAGGGTTTTCTACAATCATGACTTGAGTACAAAAACAAAACTTGCAGTATACCGAGCAATTATAATCCCCACCATGATATATGGGGGAGCGAAACCTGGGTGCCTTACCGCCGACACATGAACGCATTGAACAAGTTGCAACAGAGACACCTTAGACAACTCTTAAGAGTCCGGTGGTTCCATCATGTCTCAAACGTATCGGTCCTTGAAAAATCTAACTGCGAGAGTATTGAAGTCATGGTCACAAAATCCCGCTTAAGATGGGCTGGTCACGTATGCAGAATGCAAGAAAACCGCATACCAAAATCTCTGCTTTACGGTGAGCTTGTGGACGGTAAGAGGAGGCCGGGTGGACAACTGAAAAGATACAAGGACATTTTCCACGAAAATTTAAAGGGAATTGACATGCAGAATGAGTGGGAAAAAGCAGCTCACAATAGAACTCAATGGAGAAGGGTTGTAAACTCAGTTAACAGCGGCAACCAAAAAGTAGAGAGGCAACAAAGCAATGAGATTTTTGAATGTCCGGAGTGCGGTAGGCAGATAACATCACGTATCGGGCTTTTCAGTCACAGAAAAGCTCATGAAAGAAAACGCCTTGCGTGACCATTTTCTTTATGTGTGTCGAATACTCGTCAGCGAGTAACGGCTGTATGTATGTATGTTAATGGGGGTCCACGAAAATTTATCTGCTTTTGATAGTAAAGAGCAAAAATGTAAGCATAGTTTTTATAAGGGCCTACCTACATTGTTTTAAGTACCTATCTAAGCAGATAATATTTTAATAAGGCAAGCGACTGTTACTTGTCCAAACTTGCGTATTCGATATTACGTACAATTTCGTGTACAGACTGCAAGTCTTTTTGCAAAAGCGCTATCCGCCCGACAATGCTTAATGCTTGTTCAGACATGAACTTGATCACCACTATAAATACTTGATGCCAAAGGCAAACGCATTCATTTGTTTCCGGAATTTCGAAAAAAAGGCGGAATTTGGAAAAAAAGTTGTGAGAAAATTTATATCTGTGTTTGCTAGTGCCGGAGAAAAGTAAGTAACCTACCTTTTTTTTGTTATAGTACTTAAGTATTTTGTTTACGTGTACTAGTCGGTTGATCACAACGGCCTGTATAGATAGGTAACTTAGTAACTTACAGATATTTTAATTGTCCTCTTTCGATTTGAAGACAAACACAGCACGTTTTATTCAATTGTTTTTCACGAGAGAAACACTGCCTCTCTAAAAAGGCCGAATAAGCAATATTGCAGAGCAATTAATTTTGTAATTTTTCTTGCAAATAACTACTAATTTTATAAAACAGTAATTTCATAATCATTTTAAATTGGTTTTGAAGTAACTATTTTATCAAAACTATTCCTTTTCGGAAAGAGCGAGCGGTGCGCGGGCGACGGGAAAAGGGCGGGGCTTGGACTTCGATGCCAGTTTGTCACGTTTTAACAATGAAGCCGCAGACAAAAATACGCAAATACACGGAGCGCGTGAACTCATTGATTTAATAAAATGTTAGTTATCGTTTTATGGACAATTTTGGGATTTCGACTTTTATTTTTCCTACACAAATATGATCAGTATTCGATACTGAGTACACCAATTTTTATTTATACTATTAAAAATTAGTGGTAAATTATGTACTTTAAAATTGATACCGTTTTGTGAAAACGTCTGTATTTGTCTCAGCGGTTTATTAGTTGGTCCCTTTACAAGCCGTAATTCTATTTCTGCGTGCTGACAAAGGCTGCGGTGTGATACCTATATTCAGAAAAAAACTTGGTTACTAAAACATTTTTTTTACAGGTAAGGTAACTGACACGAAACATGGCTACAGCAAAGAAAAAATGTCGACAATATAGTATCGATTATTTGAAATATGGTTTTGTTCCATCAGAGGCAGACAAACAATTGCCCATGTGCCTATTATGCAACAAAGTTTTGAGCAATGACTCTATGAAACCATCAAAGCTCGAAGATCATCTAAAAAGGTGTCATACTGATAAAATAGGTAAAGATTTAAAATATTTTCAAACATTGAAAGAAAAATATGGAAAGAGACCCACCATGCACAGTATGTTCGCTTCAACATCTCAAAGTAACGATGATGGCTTGCGGGCATCTTACAATATCTCATTACTTATAGCAAAATCTGGAAAACCGCACACTATCGGAGAACAATTAATTTTACCCGCTGTTGAAGAGGTTTTAAAAACTGTTTTGCACAAATCTCCATTTGACGTACTAAAAAGAATTCCATTAAGTAACAATACTGTACAAAGACGCATTGATGAAATGAGCTCTGATATCGAAAGCTTTTTGTGCAATCATCTGCAAAAAACTCATTTTTCTATACAACTGGACGAGTCAACGTTACCCAGTAATGAAGCATTACTATTGGCATATGTCCGATTTATTGTTGAGGAAGAAATTCACGAAGAATTGCTATTTGCCAGAACTTTGGAGACTGACACTAAAGGCGAATCAATATTTAATGTCCTGAGTAATTTTTTTACGGAAAAATCGATCCCATTTACAAACATTATTTCAGTGGCAACAGACGGAGCTCCTGCAATGGTCGGGCGATATCGTGGGTTTATAAGTCATCTCAAAAGAATTATACCAGGACTTACAGCTATTCATTGCGTAATCCACCGACAACATCTTGTGGCAAAACATTTAAGTGACAGGTTGAACCAATCTCTTCATTTTGTAATAAAAGCTGTCAACAAAATCAGAAGCAATGCATTGAATACGCGTTTATTTGCTCAATTGTGCGACGAAAATGATGAAGACTTCCAACGACTGCTCTTACATACTGAAGTACGCTGGTTGTCGAAAGGTGCATGCTTAACGAGATTTTACTCTGTTTTCGATTCCATATTAGAGTTCTTAGAAAGTAGAGATCCAGATTTAAAAGAAAACTTGATCAAATTCAAAGCAGACATTGCGTATTTGACAGATTTGTTTAAAAAATTTAATGATATTAACTTGCAGTTACAAGGGGACAGCCTGAATTTAATAAAAACAAAGGGGATAATTTCGGCTTTTCTTGGGAAATTGAAATTTATGAAGCAAAACATTAGTCGGCGCGAATTCTCTCAATTTCCAAACTTGTCGCAGGTAGAATGTATTGATGAGGATATCCATACCTACAGTCAACATTTAAGTGCTCTGCATGATGACTTCAAAACCAGGTTTGAAGATATACTGACGATGGATATACCACCATGGATCATAAATCCATTTGATGAAACGGAAGTGGCCAATGTTGTATTACAAGAGGAGCTGCTCGAGCTAAGCACTAATGAGGAGCTGAAGGTGAAATTTAGAAAAGGCTACCCAACATTTTGGCTGCAAGCAGAAATACCCGAAAAATATCCTGGACTGTGGGAAATCGCAAGGAAATTTTTAATAGCTTTTCCCTCGTCATACCTTGTCGAAAGGAGTTTTAGTGCCGTTACAAACCTCTTAACAAAAAAAGGAGCAAATTAAACATCACAGAGCGGGGGGATTTGCGGTTATTGCTCACAAAAATAAAGCCAAACATTGATCGTTTGCTGACACTCCATCAGATACATCCTTCCCATTAATTAAAATTATGACCTGAACCTATATTACCTTAATATTTTTCTTGTAATTCTATTCTTTTAATAAATAAAGTGATATAAAATGTACCATTTTTCGTTTTTATTTTACATATCGGAATATAGGGACAGAACTCAGAAGTGACACAATTTTTATTTTTTGGCGACTTTAAGAATGTGGTAGAAATGTAGCAGCAGGGGGTCCACCGAAACCAGTAAAATTTTGAAAGTGGTCCACGAGAAAAATAAGTTTGGGAACTACTGTTCTAAGTCATATAGATATCCATATGTACACACGAACGAAATCCAAAAACAGATTAACGAAATGTTAGACAAGGGTATAATAAGACCTTCATCAAGCCCTTGGTCGTCCATATTGATAGTTCCAAAAAAGATGGATACGTCCGGGAAACAAAAATGGAGAGTAGTTGTAGACTACCGAAAAATCAACGAAAAAACGATAGACGACAGGTACCCTATACCAAACATTAATGACATCCTAGATAAATTGGGTAGGTGTAACTATTTTTCTTCACTAGATCTTGCCAATGGTTTCCATCAGATCGAAATGGAAAAGAGCTCCATTGAGAAGACCGCTTTTTCTGTAGACAGAGAACATTATGAGTACACACGTATGCCCTTTGGCTTAAAGAACGCGCCGTCTACATTTCAACGTGTGATGGACGAGATCTTGGAGGATATTCAAAATAAAATCTGTATGGTGTATATGGACGATATAATTATATTCAGCACAAAACTAGACGAACATATAAGAAACCTAAAATTAATATTCAAAAAACTGAGAGAAGCTAGACTAAAAATACAACTAGATAAGTCGGAATTTTTGAGAAAGGAAGTGGAATTTTTAGGTCATATCATAACAGCTGAAGGAATAAAACCGAACAATAACAAAATTGAAGCAATAAAAAAATTCCCTATACCCAAGGCACCAAGAGAAGTAAAATCATTTCTTGGACTAGTTGGTTATTACCGTAAATTTATAAAGAACTTCGCTAAAATTACAAAGCCTCTCACCCAATATCTGAAGAACACAAAAATAGTCCATACCAAATAATTCATCGAAAGTATCAATTTATGCAAAAATGTTTTAACATCAGAGCCCGTAGTAACGTACCCAGATTTTACATTTATGATTACATAATTATATTTTTATGATTACATTTCATGTTTCATTAATTCTATTATTTATACAATAAAGCAAAATAAGCAAAGAAAAACATTTTTAATAAAAATTCACATGTACTTTTATTTTTTTACTTTTACTTTTTTTGTACTTTTATCTTTTTTAATTACAATTACTTAAATAAATAAAAAAAAATATAATTGACAATAACATATTATTTATATTTTAAAATAAAAATAGTCTCTGTACCGTATCCAACAGTATGTTTGTAAATTTGCATTAAATACATATACAGGATATGCTATACGCAAATTCCTAACTTTTCAAAAACACAACTCTAACGATGAAATAATCTCTTGACCCATCAATAATTGTGGAAGTTTAATCTTTGATTGTTACATAATTTGTCACTGAAATTATTATACATCACAGAACACAGTCGAACATTTGCAATGATCTTGTGATGACTTCGTCTTTAAGGCAAGATTCCATGAATTCTTCAATAGTAATAACGCCGTCTTGGTTCAGATCTAACTTTCGGAAGACACGGTCGATTTGTTCTCGTGCTTTACGATCTTCTTCAACCTATGAAATAAATAAACATAATCTTAGTATTGACAAGTGTTAACACTAGGTTAAACAGAAGTTTCAATTGCAAATGTACGGATAATATAAAAATCTCAGTAGATCAAACTTAAAATTATAAAAACTGTTCATCAAGGTGATAAAACTATCAACTACTTTTCTTCCGAAAGGTTTCTCTTGACATCAATTGCCATATAAATGTTAAATTATTTAAAAAACAATTTAATTATCCTAAACTAATAGGCATGTTCCAAAAAATATAAATTCGCAAATAAATCATTGATTGCATAGATTAAGTCTTCATTACTTACAATACATAGGAAATTAGGAAAAATTCCATGATATAATTTTAGAAATTAAATTATAATTTCAAATTTGAACATTCCCGGATGAGTTGTGACGTACATAGCCTTCACCAATCACGTTTCAGATCGTAGAAAGGGAAGTTTCATATCATATGTTGGTATGACTGATTGTCTGGCTCATGCATATCGGGCGCAGCCGTTTTGGATTTTGTTATTATTTTTCTTCGTGCTTTTCAGTTCAGCGGTAAATTTTTTTGGTTGTAACTTTTAATATCTAAATGGCTCAACACTATGAAAAAACTTTTTAGGATCATTTTCGAATGGTGACGGAGTATATGGTGGACAGTTTTTATATAGACAATTTAAAATACTTAAGTGCTGATATAAAGAAGTTAAAATATCAAGGTGAGATTTTTTTTCTTGAAGAAGTTATTTAAAAGTAATAAAACCATTATTTATAGAGCATAGAGTGAATAATAATGATAACAGTTCGATTGGATACGTTCAATAAAAAGAGGGCTTCTGTACAATCAAACAAAAAGTACACCTGAATTATGTGACTGCAATAGTAAAAGTGTACAGAAAGTGGAGGGAACTAAATTTTTATGCTGTGCAGGTAACACTGGTGATTTTTAAATTATAACTAAATATGTAGGTTTTTATTTATCTATTTATATTTTAATTTTATTCGGTATGTAAACATTATGTCATACATAACAAATAAAATCACGAAAGGTACCACGGCTATGATTGATGGTGAATGAAGGAACTTCAACAAATTCTAGCAACTTTTATTGCCATTCTTGTCTTCTCATAATATTTATATTTTATATTCTTGTAGCGGATTAATACTGTAAATTGACTGCCCTGATATTCAGTAAGTCTTATCACTAAGTTATCACCATCAAAATGTAAATTATTACAATATTGTAATTAAAACACTTTATATTTACTTGCCTTTTAATTTAATAAATTTAAAAATAATAAAATATGTATATGTAATGCACAATGTATGTTTCCTTCGAATCTTCCTGATGTATATAACACTCTTAAAAAATAATATTTTAAACATTGATCACATATTAATACATTTAATAACAAAACTTTAATAAAATATTTACTTGATCTTATGTAAAAAGGCACTGCATTAGAGCCTTATTTTATCTATACAATGTATTTTATTAATAGTCTTCTGAAATAACTTAACCTATTTATTAACATTCTTGGTACCAATAGAATTTTTCTAATTGCCTTGTTCATCTCTCTAACTTTTCTTTGTCAGATAGGCGTACTTTTCATGATCAGATTTTAGCGTAACTGTTTTATGCCATAATTGTGAATACTGTGATTTTCCGGAAATACTATTAATGTTAGTTATCAGGAATTACATTTTTTTCAAATTAATTTTTCCCCACCTTCTTCCAAATGTAAAAAACAGGCCATTAATGATTTAACAAATTTTCCATCTTTTTTCTTAGTTACTGATAAATGTTATCCAACAATAGAACAATTCATTTTTTAGCATTATTGAAAAAATTTAAATGCAAATTTAATTTAAAATCAAAAATAAACAATTGTAAACAATGTCATTTTGACATTGAATAAACAGCAATGCTGCCAACATCATAAAATTCACCAAGTTTATTTCGAGACCAAAAACCAGCCAATCATATTGGCTAGGGCTACATACGTCATCGCAGCGCGCGTAAGTGTGAAATTCAAACTTTTACCCCATTTTTTGTCATAGTATTAAGTTATATATAAAAAAGGCTAAGTAGCAAGCAATAATTAGGTTGAAATCTGCATAATTACGTGGAAATTGAAAAACATGAAACATGCCTATTTTTAATTAACGAGTTGTGTAAAAAACATCTATATTTCTGATTTCTAAACTACTTTAGAAAATTAGGTAACTATACTTTTGCATAGTTGATAAAGAAGTTTTAGAGAATGTTAAAATAATTATTAACAACTGCGACGTATTAGATTTTATAGTGGTAAATATTGCAGACGCTTGTTGAAGTATTTATATTAATCACACTAGGGATTTATTGAGTTTTTACTTAATACCCCTCCTAAATAAATAAATTTATTATCTTTAAATCATTTTTAAAGTAATTCTTTAAAATTCATGTGGCCTTTTACAAAAGTGTCCAACCACGCAATACAAGCTTAAAATTTGTATAACAGTTTACACAATATGAATAACAATTAAATAATTGTTAGGTGAGATTTAAAATAACTTAAAATAAAAAAAGTATACAGGGTATCCCAATATTCCGTGGACATAGAACAATTACGTATTTTTTGAATCAAAATAAATTTTTTGCACATAATCTGTGCAAAATTAATTTATTTTGATTCAAAATTTGTGCAATAATTTATCTTTATATAAAAGTGCTTCGGTTGTCCGTTAGAGGGCATCAATGAAAAATAAACCAGAACGATAATTAATTTAAAATTTATTGATCTTTTTTTCATCAAAAGCCTATTGCCAAAATTATTTGTGAATAATAGATTTTATGCGCCTCCATAGCTTGATGTGACAAAAAACATTTTTTGGAAGTCCGCTTTGGATAAATAATTTTTTTCCTCAAAAAGTAAATCTCTCATTATTTTTTTAAGGGGCAAAAAATGTAGTAAATGCTAGGACCATTTTACGAGAAAAAAAAAATCGGTAGTCGGTTGAGTTAGGTTAGGTTAGAAAAATATTTATAATAAAATGTATGTAGGGGTGAGAGTAGTTTTCACCCTTCCTGTACTTTTCCTTATTTTTGTAAAAGTCAAATATTAAAGCACTTAGCAAAACAGACACCCAAAACCTCATTCAAACAGGAATAAGGGTTCTCAAAATATCTGAAAAATGTTTTTAATTTTTTAAAGTTTGACGCCACCTAGCGGACAAACGAATCACTTTTGTTTAGAGGTAAATTATGTCCAATGAATTTATTTTAATTCCAATAATACGTAGTAATTCTATGTCCATGAAATATTGGAACATCCTGTATAAATATATTGAATATTCTATCACCGCATTGGAAGAATTTGGGTTTTAAAGGGCCACAATGTTAATTCTAATGAATTCTAAACAAAATTTGTGGGACTGTTTAATGAAATGTACTAATTTAAGCTTAAATCACTCAGCGAAATATATTCTCATACATTATTCTGATTCTGCATAACAACTTTCTGTTAAATAGTCCATTATATGTAATGGTGAACTTGAGTTACCCTCCTACTGTTACTATAGGCAGTTATTAAATAAGTTAGTTTATTTTGTAATAGCGTAACATTATCTTGTAACAGAGATATTCTTGTAATAAATCAAACCATTCACCAATAATTATTTCATTTCTGTATTTACTCATTCATGCAATATGTTAATAATGATTAAAAAATATCTATGTGGCGGATTCGTCTCTCCAAAAAATCCTATATGGGTTTTTTGCCACTGCAAGAAAATCTACAAAATAAAATACTTATTCTATGTAAACACTTCTGCGTTAATCCCAAACGGAAACTACTTATCAGAAGTTAGGTTTAAAGATATACAAATTTGCCTAACGAACAAGAAAATGCTTAACGTTTCGGAAAGTTTATCTCTTTCCGTCGTCGGAAGCAAAAAAAAAATACAAAGAATAAAGAAAAAAACTATATAAAAATATTTAAATTCAACTATTCGAGAACACTTTATTTTTTTTTAAACAGATACGTCTACAAAAGCCGTTTTCCGACGACGGAAAGAGATATACTTTCCGAAAGGTTAAGCATTTTTTTGTTCGTTAGGCAAATTTCTCTTTAAGTGCGGCGCTACACGGTCCGTTTTTGCAGGTTCCGCACTGCGGATCCCGTTTTGCGGTATGGCAATATCGCATGAGATGGCATAGCAGATGTAACACCATCCATTCTTGCGGGATATGCGGCGACATGCTGCAGCAATGCAGGATTACGGGATGCGGGAATCTTGGTGACGACACAGTCAGTTGAATGTAAACTGTAGCAAGGTACGTTTCTGCGGTATGCCGCTTTGATCGCGAAAAGCAAAATATGTTTGATACGGACCAATTTATCGAGCTTATTCATGGGCTACCTGCCCTTTGGGACAAGGGCAGGTAGCCCATAGTAGAATTTGGAATTTTAGAATAAAAGTTTTCAAATCTTCTTCTTCTTTCGCGTTCGGAATTAAAAGGATGAACCCAGGTTTTACGTAGACATAGTTCCTTCGCGTCTGCCACACAATATCAAAATGTGCGTAGTAGCTGCACGAAGGTCCCGCAATCCGTTTTTGCAAGATCGTATAATTGGAGGCCACGATCCGTTTCTGCGGCATCCTGCAAAACGAGATGCTGCAAAAACGGACCGTGTAACGCCGCACTAAACCTAACTTCTGACAAGTAGTTTCCGTTTGGGATTAACGCAGAAGTGTTTACATAAAATAACTATTTTATTTTGTAGATTTTTTTGCAGTGGCGAAAAACCCATATAGGATTTTTTGGAGGAATGATAAAAATGATTATAATACATTACTTGATGAGCCCGCCGTCCCATCAATTCATGGACCGCAATAACGATTTCTGATAATTCTCCTCGGCTTATGCATCCATCTCCATTGATGTCGTACAGTTTAAAAGTCCACCGCAGCCTCTCGTAAATACTACCCCTAAGAAGCGTTGACAATGTAATCAACAAATCCTGAAAAAAGTTTGCATTTGTAAGAAAGTACAGAAGTAAAGTTGTATACTAAGAACCAAAAAAAATATAATCAAATAATGTCTGTATATATAAAGTATATACTTTTGTGGTGGGTCAATTTCTTCAAAATAATCTTTCGTCACTGGAAGTCAGTGGCGGCTCGTGATGCATGCATACATACATACATACCTACATTGGGGATGAAAGGGGTATTGGGGCTCGTGATGCGTGGGACCGGGTGGCGATAAAAGTTTTAGTTGCGTCTGTTTGTCCCCCACCCTAAATTTACTTAATATCCTAACCCAGTTCATAAAATTATGTTATATCTGGGTAAAAAACATAGCTCAAGAATATTTAGGACAAAACTAAAGCAAAAATAACAGCATTCAACGTAATAACATAATGATTGACATAATGTACAAGTATATGTTTTTTTATCTTCTTAGATACTAATTTTTAAGTACTTTGATAAATAAGGTAAGGTGCCCGGTGGCGTAGAGGTACAGGCTCTCGTCTACCAATCCGAAGGTAGTGGGTTCGATTCCCACACCCGGCATTTCATCAGCCGACTATTTTTATTAAAATAAAAATAGTTTGTGTACCTAGGCCGACTCAGCCTTAAATGAGTACTTGGGACTCACAATCCTGAGGTAATAATAGGCGGTTGAAGCGGTAGAAGCCACATTACCTTCCTTGTATACCGAACGGCTCTAGTATGGCAAGCTGTACCTTGCTACTCCCAAGGCGTTAAACGCTATATACGGAAGCTATTATTATATATAAATAAGGTACATAATAGTACCATGCAGTATATCATAGGATTTTATTTTATTTTTATTGATTTACGTTAACTTAAAAATTGGCCGGGTGCGTCTCAAAAGTGGCTCACCCCTATAACTTTTTTATTTTTACAGTTAAAAAACGAGATCTGGTATGTTCGTATATGACATAAATTAGGATTGATTAACATATTCAATTGTTTTCAATCACTTCCGGTTTCACCGGAAATGACTACAACTTTTGTTTTTTAAATGACACGCTCGGTATTTTTTACTTTATTCGATAGAAAATGACACTGAATAGAATGACATATCATATATCAACCTTTTACATTTTCGCATATGTTTTATTTGAAATTATAACTTGCGGTTCGTAACGAAAATTTGACTCGAAATATCAAGTGTGTGGTACCAAATTATTCGTAAAAAATGCTTTTTCCAAATATGCTAATGAGCCACCCTCGTTCCATTTAAAAAAATTGATATATGATTAAAAATACGATTTGATCATTTTCTAACTGACCAGGGGAAGAAAAACATTAAACAATCAAATCTATTTTTCCAAGACTCCTTGATTGAGAATAAGCGTTTTTAACATAACCATGGCACTCTAGATTAAATTTTAAAATTCATTTTTGTTTTAAGCGAGAATGGCGAAAGTTGACATATAATATGTCATTCTATTCAGAATGTCATTTTCTATCGAATAAAGTGAAAAAAATGGCACCCTTTAAAAATCAAAAATTGTAGTCATTTCCAGTGAAACAGGAAGTGACCAAAAACAATTGAATACGTCCAATCAATCCTAATTTATGTCATCTACTAACATACCAAATATCGTTTTTTTATCTGAAAAAATAAAAAGTTATAGGGGGGGTTAGCCACTTTTGAGACGCACCTGGTATAGACAATTAAATCTACAAAGAAAAACAGATTCTCTTATACATATTGTATATTTCGAGACTAACAAAAAAAAAGAATAATTGAGGAGGAGACTTTTTAGATGCATTTTATCCATTTTTTCGAATTTTGACAAAGAAAAATACCACGCTTTTGCATAAAACTTACCAAAAAACTAGAATTCTTGAAAAATGGATAAAAAAATTAAATAGTACAGCTATATGTGAAAAATCTGATCGAATCTTGATGATATATCTGAAAAAAAAAATAAAAACCCGTTGACTGTCCTTTAAACGTGAAATTTTTCTTTATTTTGCTGCTACTACGGTCCGTATCACCAACTAGATGGTCCTCAGTCATAGTTCCATTCTTTATTTTATGTAGTATTATTCAAAAAATAGAGAAGATTTACAAAAAAAAATCTTCATTTGGCAATGACAAACAAACAGCAGTTAAACAAGGACACAAGGACGTACTTTTGTTTGTTTGTCTATTGCCAATGGACATACAGCACATAGAAAGTTTAAATTATTTTCATCATTTAATTCAAATGGGATAAAATGTATTTAACACGTCGTATCATATTGTAACTCTGTGTATGTAGTTTGCAATGCCACCTGTGGTTGAAAATCTTAAATAATGGACAAAATGCATTTAGATTAAAAGTAAGACAAGTGACGAAAAACGTTTATTTTTCATTGAATTTCTACAGTAATTTTTAATCCATTTCAAACATGAACAATGTCTCTCAACCCAAGTACTTATAAATAATGTGATAACAATCAAAAGAAACAGTTTCAAAGCTTCTACTAAGGGCGTTGTAGTGTACTAAAGCTACTTTTGCAAGATTATTCTCGTTATAAATTATTTTATAATCGCAACTATTATACATATTGTTAATATTTACAATTTACTCATTAATTTATGTTGGTAAAAATCATTGCGGTAAAATTTTGTTATATCAGATATTAAATGCGTTATAAATTTTTTATTGGATTCTTTAAATTTCTGTGAATCGGCAAGTGATAAATAAAAATAATTGATATATATCTGCAAACCTTATTTCTAAATGTGTAACAATGATATTTAATATTCGCAATAAATTTAATATATTAATAAAATTCGCAGAGAAGTTATTTGACTTCGCCCCTTTTAACATATCAAATTGAAATAGCACACTGAGACTTTTCTGTAATATTTTTAATAATACTTTTCTGTAGTTTTAACTGAATTTTCGATAAAGCCCAAAATCAAAAATGCCCCTCGTAAATTATGCCGTATTTTTTCAGAAAAGAATGCTCAAAAGTTCAGCCACTTATGTAAAACAACCAACTGGGATACTAGCTCTTATGATGTCGACACCGAATTTTCTATTTTCGTAAAAACACTAACCAGACTAGCGTTCAAATCCTTTCCTTTTAGGCCTATCAAAAACAAACATAATAAACCTTGGACCACTAAAGGTCTACGCATGTCTTCTAAAAACATGCGTTCATTATCTCACTTAAAAAAATTCTCAGGCAGTGTCTTCTTCCACAATTACGTAACTATACAGAAAAATTTATCATAAGACTATAAGAGCCGCTAAGGACCTTTATTATAATAGGAGAATAGTCAATTTTGGTAATGTTGCTAAAGAAACATGGTCTATTGTGAATGAATTGAGAAACAAAGCTTTTCTTCGTCTAGCAATATCTCTACCTCACCTGAGAACCTTAACGATTACTTTGTAAATGTAGCGAAAAACTTAACTAATACCATATGTCCTTCTCATGATCCACTTTCTTATCTCTCTAATGATAATGTAAACTTACACAATTTCTTTTTTTCGCCCGTAGTTTTAGAAGAGCTTCGCAGTACAATTAATACCATCAATAATAAATCCTCTTCTGGGACCGACGGGCTAACTTTAAAAATGTTTTCGAATCTGCCAGAAAGCACTCTGAATCACCTAACAACTTTGATAAACATGTCGTTCCAAAATGGTATTTTTCCAAAATGTCTTAAGACGGCAATAATCATTCCTCTGCATAAAGGAGAAGACAAAGATGAAACTTCTAACTATCGCCAATTGCACTCCTTCCAACGCTATCTAAGATCATAGAAAGGTTGGTTAAAAGAAGGCTGGTATCTTTTCTGTTTAAGTACAAAATACTTACTAAATATCAATTTGGATTTCTAAGCAACAAGTCCACAAATGATGCTAAGTTTTCCTTTCTTAATAAAGTTTACTCCAGCCTAAACAACCATCATTCTACAGCAACAATTTTCTGTGATTTTTCTAAGGCGTTCGATTGTGTAAATCATAAGATCCTAATTAATAAACTGCAGCACTATGGGTTCAGGGGATCATCTCTCGAATGGTTTACGTCGTATCTGAGCAACAGAAGTCAACTTGTGAGGGTGGATACCACGTTGTCTTCTAGCAAGTCAATAGAATGTGGAGTACCACAAGGCTCAGTACTAGGCCCCATTTTGTTTCTTCTTTTTATTAACGACATTGCTAAAATAAAGATCAGTGGCAAAATATGTCTTTTTGCGGACGACACTAGCTTCACTTGGAGCAACAAGGACATCACGGCACTTCATAGGATTATATCAAATGACTTAATCACCATTAAATCTTGGTACGATTCAAACCTCCTGAGTCTCAACATTTCTTAAACTAAAGCTTTGTCGTATAAAAACTCGTTGCAGCCGCTTGTACTTAACAACACCACCACTGACGCCGTAAAATCTGTAAAATTTTTAGGGCTTGTTGTGGACAATTCTCTGAAATGGGACATACATATCGAAGCTTTGTCGAAAAAATTGACCTCTGCCTGTTTTGCATTAAGGTCTGTTTCTAAGGAGCTTAACTTGTCAGTGGCCAGAACTGTTTATTATGCACTTTTTGAGTCGCACCTCAGGTATGCCCTTCCATTCTGGGGTACGGGTTGTGCGACTCAATTTGACCGCATTTTCAAGCTCCAGAAGAGAGCTGTTCGATATGCACTGGGACTAAACAGCAGAACTCATTGCCGGGACTTTTTTAAAGAATTAAAAATATTGACTCTTCCTTCCATATTTATATTTGAATTGAAAATCTGAATCAGCTGCCATTTCGAAGCAACAGGTAAAGATGAGATATTATCTTTATTAGATTCGTTATTATTATTGAATATTTTTAGGGTAGAGTTTTGGATCGACCCACCTTAACTCGTATTTGTGTTTTGCTGGCACATTGGTGTTCTTTTGCTTTTGTCCTTCAGAATGTTACATGGAAGAAAGGAGAGTTTCTTTGTTTATTATTGAGCCCTCGAAAGTAATTCGAGGTAAGTA